CCAGAGGAAGGCCGAAGGTACCCATTGGTTCGAGCTAAATCGCCCAGAAATAAAACTCACGACTCGCGGATACCCGTACCATTAGGTGGCCATGCGTCTGGTATCCCACAGCGGAATCTCAGCTTCCGCGAACGAGCAGCAAAGAATGACATCAAGCCACCCAACGAACCTGATGAAGGATCCCATCGCGATGCCTCACCGACAACCAATGGTACTTCAGTGGCAAGAAGTGGTAGCAACAAGTTGAAGAAAAACCCCCCCAATGACCCATGGCCCCCAGAGAGTCGCTGGAACCCATTACTCCGGTGAGGTATGAGGGTGGGCCTGTCCGTACGTATGCCCCTCAAAAATTGGACTTCAGCCCGATGCCACGGCGGAATACGGAGCCGTCCGACAGGAGTGAGGATGAGGTGACATCAACTCCCCCGACAACCGGAAAACTGGTTAAGAATGCCAGCCAGAGAAAGGCCGAGCAAATATTTGGCCGAGAGCTACCCCAACTCGTCACACGCGACGGGGCGCGACGAAGCCCTGATTTTGGAAGGAACGGGCCCTCGCCTCCTCCTGCCGCAGTGGCCGGTTACCGCACACGAAGAGACGCCAGAAGCGAGAGCGATAGCGACGAGGAGTCTCGCCACGTATCGGATCTTGTTTACCATGCGCGCGACAAGCTACAGCCTGGCCGAGGTGTGTTCAAGCCGACCGAATACCTGGAGGAATGGAAGGGGGCGCCTGTTGGAGCACTGTCTGGTGATCTGGTCGACCTCGATGATTTGCCACCCGCGGTGGAAAAGGGTGCCACATGGTGGGAAACATCGCCGTCCAGGAGAAGGAGCGGTAGCATTTCCGCACGACCGAGGAAGGGTGAGGCCTTTGAAGGTGAATACGATGACACAAACGGTATGCAAATTTTCCATCCGAAACCAGCGGCACGAAATATGACGGGGCTTGTGGTGGTTATCGCCATCATGTTGGCGGCGGCAGTATTTCACTGGCGTGTCAGATTCTCGTCCGTTGATCCAAGGCCGTGAACGATGAGATGTGTGGGCCAGGAGTCTGGATAGGTTGTTTTCCATCGACCTCAATTCAGATGCCTACGGCTTCGGCAGCAGTGACGTGGCTTTGGACCTCGTTGCAGCATCGCGGTCCTTTTGTATCCACTTCCCCATACTCGTGCGACAGCCACGTTGCATTATCTGTCACCCGTTGAACACTAGGAAGATTTACTGACTTCTGGCATGTTCGGCTTGATATAGCTCCCACGAGGTTTAAGCCACCCCTGTATCTGAAGTGCGGGCCGCTGTTGAGATACTGCGGCATCCGCCATGAGCGTGTACCAAGTCGCTCGACCCGGAATGGCCCTGTTGTGGACAGGGAGATATGGAGGGGCTCTGTCATGATTGTCACAACTGACGACGACTCATCCTACGACATTGCTCCGACACTGAGAATGTTCGTTCAACCTATTGAGCTCCTCCCTCCACCACCAAGGGAGATCAATGGCGACGAGCCGCTGGCGCCTGAGTATGTAGACCCTCTCGCGGGGCACCCGAAGCTCGGACGTAAGGGCGAGACGCTCTACGTCCGACCGGTGGACCACTTGGAGGAGGAGAAAGACTTGTCGAGAGACGAGACGGACGAAGGCCTATTTGAGAAATCAAAGAGCCCGCCCGATTTCCTTCTGAAAAAGGGAGTGGTCGATCCGCCAGGCTCTTTTGCTTCCCGTAGGAAGCGCGCCGACATTGACGGAGAGAAAGCGGGCAAGTTCAAGGACTGCAGAGGCTTCAGACTGCACGCCGAGCGGGGTTACACCTTCTGGAGATTCAATATCGAGGTGGAGCTCCGGGATAAGGAGCAGCGCATCGCCTACCGGATCAACAGAGGCCCCTCGACAGGCTTTTGGGTCCCGGCTAAGGGCCAGACGATGAATATCATGTTCCACAGCTGCAATGGCTTCAGCATGAGTGTCAACCCTGATACCTTCAGTGGGCCGGATCCAATGTGGCGCGACGTCCTCAACACTCACCAGAGCCAACCGTTTCACGTCATGATTGGAGGCGGCGATCAGATCTATAACGACAAGTGCATGCAGGAAACTAAAATCTTCAAGGAGTGGCTCATGATCAAGAACCCCTTGCACAAGCACAAGGCGCCCTTTACGGCTGAAATGCAAAACGAGCTCGAGGAATTCTACCTGGAGCGCTATTGCATGTGGTTCTCTCAGGGCCTCTTTGGCATGGCGAACTCGCAGATCCCTATGGTTAATATGTTTGACGACCACGACATCATCGATGGGTTTGGCTCTTACCCCCATCACTTCATGAACTCGCCAGTGTTCTCCGGGCTCGGCAATGTCGCTTTCAAATACTATATGCTATTCCAACATCAAAGCATCACCGGAGAAACCGAGAAGGATGAGCCGAGCTGGACGCTGGGCATCCGCCCAGGGCCCTACATTACTGAGCACAGCCGCAGCTTGTTCATGAACCTGGGAGCCAAGGTCGCCCTCTTGGCTGTGGACGCTCGCACCGAGCGTACGCGTGAGGGAGTTATTACCCAAGCAACGTGGAAGAAGATCATGGACCGGTGCTTTGATGAGATCGACAGGGGCAAGACGGAGCATTTGCTTGTTGTTTTGGGTGTGCCTATCGCCTATCCGAGATTGGTCTGGCTTGAGAACATGTAAGTGTTATTGCCCCCGAACCAGCCAGCTACGAACTCTAACTGATGTTTGTCTTTAGCTTGACCTCCCGCATAATGGACCCAATCAAGGCCCTTGGAAAGACAGGAATGTTTGGCAACGTTCTCAATACTTTCGACGGTGGTGTTGAGGTCCTTGATGATCTTGACGACCATTGGACTGCTAAAAATCACAAGGAGGAGCGCAGCATCGTGATTGAGGACTTGCAGGACCTAGCAGGCGATAAATCTATCCGGGTTACTATTTTGAGGTGAGTTACTCCTCCCTGTTCGCAGGTTATACTGACGTGATATCTAGCGGCGACGTTCATCTTGCAGCTATTGGGCAATTCTACTCGAACCCCAAGCTCGGCATCCCAAAGCACAAGGACTTCCGGTATATACCGAATGTCATCTCCTCGGCGATCGTCAATACGCCGCCGCCTGATCTGATGGCCGACATACTGAACAAGCGCAACAAGGTGCACCACTTCGACAAGGAGACAGATGAAGACATGATCCCAATCTTCTCCCACGGAGTGGATAGCAAGCCACGCAACAACAAGCATTTGCTCCCGCATCGCAACTGGTGCTCCATCCGCCCATATGTTCCGGGCAACTCGCCACCGGCAACCCCGGAACAGTCAGCGTACGACCTCACGCCCGGGGCGTCACCGCCCGGAACTGCCAATGGAGGTGGAGGCGGAAGCGGGATCTTCCGTCGTCTCTCCTTCTCCAAATCCCGCAACCGTGGGCCCTCGTTCCGAGGCCCGGATAGTGTCCGAGATCGAGCCCGCCCGCCCGTCTCGGGTGGTTTACTTCGTGCACTCTCGAGGAAGAGGGTTGCTGCTAGCGCCGATGCGGTGAACACTGCCGGTCAACAACAGAGGCCGCCGGCGGGACAAGGCTTCCTGACGAGAACTCTATCGGGCTCGTCGATCAACGGCCGCTTTGGTGGTCTCTTCCGCCGGCACCCCAGCAGCGCCAAACGTGGCGACGATGGCGGTATCAACGGGACCTGGGGAGACGAGGAGACGGAAGAGGAGGATATCGAATTCGACGAGGAAAGCCCACGTGTTCGTGGAGGTGGGGGAGGCCGACGCGGTATCGGTCTGCGTGGCGGTCTCGGCGATTACCCGCACGAGTATAACGAGTTCGAAGATGGTGACGAGAATTACTTCTCCGCCCAGCCGTCCGAGTTACCTCACGCCCGGGACCCGACAGCCATGAGCGGTGGCGCAGGTCCTGTCGGCATGACACGGGCGGCTGCGGGTGGATCGCGCGGCGACGTGGTTCCAGAGCAGGAGTTTGCTCCCAAGCCGTTCCACCGCACACCGACGGGTTTGACGGCCAAGCAGATGAAGCACGCCGAGAAGCTGTCTGTCAATCTCGAGGGTGGATTGGAGATTTCGCTCAACGTCGAGATTAGTCCCAAGGACCCAGGCGGTAGCACGGTGCCGTACCGGCTCGTGGTGCCAAGGTTGTGGTATGAGTACGAGGGGTCGGATGCGGAGCCGAAGCTAGAGAAACCAGTGGGAGGAATCAAGAGGCTTCTTAGTCTGAGAAAGAGCGACCAGTGAGGCTGGTTATGGGGCATATAATGGATATTGTGAATATTGGATGTGACGGCATATGGTAAAAGGAAAAGGCTTTACATGCTTGGAAGAGGGAAATATAGCGGCGAATGTTTTAAAAGTCTTCTGGCTTATGGGGGTTTCTAATGGTTAGTTATTTTGGGGGCTCATCTCAGACGCGGCTGCTACTGGCTTTTTAGAATTGGGCTTTGCCGTTCATTCATCGAAATGTGTTGCGTTAGCAGCACACATGGGTAGATATGGTATCGGACGACTTGATGAACTTTGGGGAGGTGGAAGGCATTGTTGATAGCAGGGAAGACTACATTACATCTGCCTATCTGTATGTCTTGGATTCTTTTTATTTTGTGGTTAGTCAATCCTTTGGTGTTCGGCGAAGGGGTTTTAGGCACAGCGAGAATGAGGAATCTCTAGTAAATAGAATATTGAATCTAATACTTGATTCGTCTCCATCGCTGATCAATATCAAATTCCAAGGGTGGCCATGGTGGGTTTCTCTCAGCGACTTCTCGTCTTCCCTTGCAAATAAAAGAGGCATATTTTACAGTATCAGTTAGTCACCGTTCAGCGTTCACGCATCTCATTTGTAGGTTCATTTAGCAATCGCGACAGAAGCAGGAAATCCTAAAGCGCATCCGCCGATCGTCCAAAAAGGGCGTACTGATTGATACATCCGGCCAGCAAAACAATAAAGCACCGGATTATAGTCCATCAACAAAAACATTTCGTCACCTACAGGATTCGAACCTGTGCTCCCGAGGGAATTGCCTAGGTTTACCACCGAGGTGGATAGCAGGGCAACGCGTTAACCACTCCGCCAAAGTGACTAATGTGTTATGCCGTGGACGTCAAGTCCTGCTTGGAGAATCTCTACACCAAACGGAGGGGGGGGGGAGGGTGATGGTGCCTAAAATAGTAAGTGGAAACCTCCACACAAGTATACAACAAAGTCAAACTGAGCCCTATAGGAGATTAGTAAAGTTGCCGAAGCAGGAAAGGGGTATGTGATGGCAGCTTACCACATTAAGGACGTGATAACGTGCCGACATGTCTTTCTATCTTTGACGACATATCGGCTATTTGGTTTTCCCCTCGCGCCGCCTGTTGCTTCTTTTGGCGGCCCCGTTTTTGGGGGATGACATATTTCCCATTTGGCCCTCGGGTAAAACCTCATAGCGCCCGATCACGCAAGTAGATGCCCCGATGTCCCCAGTGGCCAGTTCAGATAACTTCCTCCTTGGCTGCGGCCCCGGGACTCCTACTCCTGCTGCGCCCGGTCCGTCCGCGAGTTGGGCCGCGGCCACCCCCTCCGCCGCCGCCCCGTGCTCCGCCGCCTTGTCCCTTGCCAGGCGGGGGCCTTACGAACGCAAAGTCGACTTGGACGGTCTGGTCGAGGAGCTTGGTGTCGTTTGCGCCGTCGATGGCGGCGCGCGCCTCGTCCAGCGTCGGGTATTCGATTAGCGCATAGCCCTAGAGTCGTGGTCATTAGCCTAGGGCTAGATTGTCTACCCCGCGGGGCCCCGTTCGGGGCGAGCGTGGCCGGGGCAGAGGGGGCAGAGGGTGTGTTTGCACATACCTTGACGTAACCGCTGCGCCTGTCCAGATTTAGATGCAGGTTCTTGATCTCGCCGAACTCGCCAAACTTGTCGTGAATGGCCTCTTCGTCGGCCTCCTCGTGCACGTTGGTGACCATGACGATCCAGCCCTCGATGGACCGTACAGCTGTGGCCTTGGTATGTGTCTGCATGGCGGCCAAGCGCGTGCTGTTAGCTGCACCACTGCCTGAAGCATCGTTGCCGCCCTGGGGGAAGACAGGCTCGTCCAGTTCCATATCGTCGGCCATTTTGTGTTTTGCGCGTGCGATGTCGCTCGGTTGCGCTTCTAGAGGATCGGCAGGGAATGGGTGCAGGTGTTCGCGAGGTCAAGTCAACCTAAAGCGTTGCAGAAAAGGAAGAGTGAACCTTTTGGGTTGGATCGCGTCCACCCATCTGGTGAACCGCGGGGCTTAGCGTGCTTTCCCGATCAGGCTTGGCACGGGGGCCCATCCGCTCCTTATCTTATCGCCTGCCGACATCTTGCATACACATTGCATGTAAATAGGTAAATACAATGATATAGGGGCTGAATCAGGAAAGTAATGTAAGGCATACAACGCCAGTTCAATCGGCGAGATATCTCGCCAAATCAACACAAGCTCTATGTATTACTTGAAGGATTTTTTTTTTTTTTTGAAAAAAATTGAGTCCACCCGGTAACGCCTTTGGTCCATAAAAACAGATGATTTACACCAGGATAAACAGACAGGTTCCTCATCAACTTTCCCCTGCTGTGCACAGCCCACTTCACTTTGTCCGCAGAACAATGTGAACGAACACTCAGCGTTGATTGATCGAGAAGAGCCAAATAATACAACAAACAAATTCCGTCAACGCCGAAACCAATTCCGCCCTAATTAACCCTATCCTAACCACCGCAGCGCATCGCGCGCGGCGAGATAACAAAAGGCGCCGTCATCACCGTTACATGACCAAGACTCCAACAATGCCACAATCCACACACCATAAATCCAGTCTTGTTCAGTTTTTTCCCCTCGTCACTCAATCAAACCCATTCCATGACGAACCATCCCGACTCTCTACCGTCGCCTCAAGCCGGACAAGATTACTGAGAATCGTGACGTTAATCTCCTCCTCCGCCATGAGCTGGCCAGCCTGCTTTTGCCCCTCCAACACGTCGTGCAGCTTGTAGAGATGCCCGCTCTTCATCTCCACCTCGGACTGTAGCTTCTTAATCTCGGCCATCACACGTCTACGCTCCCGCTGTCCGAGTGACTTGTCAAGGCCAAAGTACACGTCATTTAGGCGCTTGAGCTCCATTTGTAGGTGCTCAATCTCGTCCTGCGTCTCCTTGATGAGGATTGCTAATGCCTCGCCCGGCGACATTGACGGTCGCATTGTCGGCTCCTCCTCGTACCTAGAAACGGGCTCGGGTATGCGGTCAGAGACCGGGACCGGCTTTTCGACGCAAACAGTCTTTTTGCCCTTGCGCATATCCTCAGCCGAAATCGACACTCTCCTCGACGCGCTAATGGTACGCTGCTCTCCGTGGGCGGCAATGCGCACGCATACATTGCAGTTGCCAGACTTGTGCTTGCAGATGCTGTCGAGAACTCGGCGAGCCTCCTTGCTGAGAGATGGGACAGCTGGCTCCGTAGTTTCTTGCTTGTCGCTATGCATCGTGATGTCAGGCATGAAGAACCCGGATGTCATGTTCTGTCCCGTCATCGTCGCCTCAGCCCCAATGCGCCCCATGTCCGAATTGCGGCGGGGGCGCGAGTCCAAGCCTGGCGCCTTGCCCTGTGCATTGGAGATGCTCTTGGCAGACCTGTGGCTTTGAACCGTCTGGACAGTATCTTCACTGTGATGACTGACGATACTCAAGGCTGATTTGATACTGAAGCGGCCTGTGTCGTCCTCAAGAGGAAACTGACTAGACTTCTTCAGGATCCCGACGGGCTGACTCTTCAACTGCGTGGTACCGTTTGCCTTGGACATTTGCGTCCCGTCTTCGGATTGGACCCTGCGAAGAGCTGGTGCAGCCAGTGAGGGCAAGTCGTAGTCGGTAAGGTCCATCGTGCCACCATCAGCATCGGGCTCCATGACTTGCTGCTGTTGCTGATCCTGGATGTCTCTGTATGTCTGCTTCAGTTTGAGGATCTCGTTATCCATGATACTGGCAAAGTCGGACCCCTGAGTCAAATGGAGCTCCGTAGTCGGATCGTCTTCGGCGTTCATGACGCTGCTCCTTCCTGTCAGGTCACTTGCTGCATATTTGGAACCGACGGTCTCGCCGGGCTCAACAATGCGGGTGACCTTGGTAGCTTTACCCGTAATCTCTTGCTGTGAGATTTCGGTAATCTTTGTCGTTAGCAGCTTAACCTTCTTGATGGCGGCTTCTCGGCGTTCCAACTTCTGGCGGAGCGCCGCTTCCTTTTGCTTGAATTCCTCTTCCAAGCGCACGCAGTCGTCAGTGTTATCGTTGAGTGTCTTGAGATACTCGGTATTGTTCTTGGTGAGCTGCTGGTTCAATCGTATTACCTTATGTCGATCGTCAATCCATTGACCTCTCATCTCCTCGTATTCCTCGCGAAGGCGCTTATTCTCTTCCGCGAGCTTCTCTTTCTCGGAGGTGAGCTCGACATTATGCTCCTTGAGGGCGAGGATTTGACCATCCTTGGCAGTAAGAGACCCGTCTCTCTCTTGCAAGTTGGTCGCCTGCTGCTCCAGCTGATCCTTGAGACGATCAAGCTCTTCCTCAAGCTCATCGTTCAGCTCATGCATACCTGTGTCTGTTGTCAAGCCACCCATCCTCTCAATCATCTGGTCACGGGTGCTGATACCCTTCTTGAGATCAGCTATGTGTTGGTCGCGAGCGGCGATTTGTGCCTGCAGCTTCTTGTTCTCTTTGAAGTAGCTGTCATTGTTCCGCTCCATGCTTAAATGGTCTTGGGCAATAAGCTGTTTCTCTTGCTGGAGAGCCTCGTATTGCTTGCGGATTGCGGCAAGCTCTTCACGAGTAGCCAGTAAATCATTTTGGGCCGTGGCCAGGTCTCGGCGGAGTTTATCGCACTGAGTCGCGAGGTTCTTGTTATTCTTCACAGTTGAGCTATTTTGCTGTTTAAGGGCCTCATTGGCAGCAACCAACGACGTGTTCTCGAGCTGCAGTGTCTCCTTGTCATGTCGGTACTGAAGTGTAGACTCGAGGTCCTTCTGGGTAGCCCCGAGTTCAGCTTGCAGCTTCAAGGCTCGCTCACGGGCGACTGATGCTTGATGCAAGGCCTCATCGCGCTCTGCGGTGAGGGCTGTGCTGTGGATATCGTTGACACCAACTTGGCGACTAGCGTGGTCGAGGCGGTCTTGTAATTGTGCAATCTCCGCCTCGAGTTCCTGGTTCTGAACATCGGCGCGACGGTTGAAGGACCCGTCTGACTCAGAGCCTAGGGCGCTATCAGACCGCTTCCTCGTGTGGAAAAGCTTAAGTTCAGCCTGAAGCTGACTGACTTCCCGTTGAAGTTTCTCTGCCTCGCGTTGAAGCATAGCATCGTGATCATGGAGTTCGCGGACTTCCTCCTGGAGCTTATCCATAGAGACAAAAATCTCCTCGTCCTCTTCAGAAACTACTACGCCATTCAGGACGCCATGGCCATTGGCTTGGCCAAAGCGAGCACCAGCCTTGGTGAAGATAGGAACACCGTCTCTCATGGCGCTGAACTTGAGAGTCCCAGCCGTCCAATCGGGAAGATGCCGAAAACCCGGGAGGAAGAAAGAACGGCCAGTCGGGCTGATACCACTCTTATCCGCCGTGATGGTGGGAGGCTGAAGGAATGGCCCCCTTGGTGGGGATTGCTGGGGCGTCATCTCGCGGGTGAATACGTGAGCCTGTGTGGTTTGTTTCTCGATGCGGATCTTGGAAACCATTTCTTGCAGCGAACGTTTCGGTGGCTCGGGCGAGACAACGCTACTATCTGCCGGGGCACTCGAGAAACGGTTACGGCGAGCTCCAGAAACAGGCCGACTAGTGCGAGAGAGCACAGTGGAAGAATCCGACTCATCCTCAACACGAGCCTGCATGTCGGCGCGAAACCGTTTCTGCTTAACATCCATCGCGTTCTCAAATGTGTTCTCTGCAGTGTGCTCGAGAGCGGGGGGCACATTCTCTTTCCCTTCGTTCATTAGAGGAATGGGCTTGAAGGGAAAAGCTGCGTCAACACTCTGCGAGACGGTAATGGTGTCCTTGGTGACCAGGCCGCTCCACTCGGGGAAGGCGC